CCTGTTATTTTTCGAAGACAACAGAGGTGGTAAACATGATGTAAGCTTCTACGATATCTGTCTTGAATTAGAAAATTTAATCAAACTATACGCTTTGGATGCATGTAAAAGAAAGGCAGCATCTTTTACTTCGTCGGAACTTGCTGGATATCAAGAGGAACAATATTATGAGTTAGTTGGGCAGGTGAGGATTGTTTTGCTTCTAGATTTTCGAATTAGAAACGGTTGCTGGGAGATATGTTATAGAAATTACTATCTCGCCAAAGTTTCATAGAGGATTAAATGCGATCGAAGGTTAATGGGTGCATCTAAAACAATTGATTAGGCATCGCGCAGATCAAACATTTCCTACTATGCTCAAGTTGATTTAAGAATCTAGATTCAATTTCGTTGAGAAAAATGTTTCTATGAAGTTCACCAGAAGATTCTGGCGAACTTTAGTAGCGTATGAACGTAGTGATACTTGTGACTGGTTTCTTTTTCCCCAGTTAAAGTATATTTCCTTACCATCTATTCAACATAAAGACGTATTTCTTTTTCAAATGGTCGAACATCACATTCGTAAGGTATTTATGCAAATAGATCAAAGAAAATCACTTCAAAATAAATCTCGCACATATCTATGTGTAACAAAAAACTAGCTCGGTAAGTAATCAAAATGACTACCACAAGAGTCTTCATCGTTCTAAACAAATTGTTCGATTAGAAACAAGAAATTAAATGAAAAATACTCCTAAAAAATAAAAAAATGCATATATGATAGGAAACGTCGAAAAATAACAGGGTGATCTTGAGAGTGAAAGTGAGTTAGGAAAAAAAATACGTTGAATGCATCTCTGGCGTCTGGGAAGTGGAATGGTGGAAAAAAGTGTCTATCTTCATTAGAAAATGGATTGATGCGTTCTCAATGAGAGACATTCGATCATCGGGTGAGTTAACAGACGTGCATTTTCGTTAATGATAAAGACATACACTGAGTGAAACATTCAAAGAAATACGAAAATTTTTCCAAACCCTGTCATCGAATTCCTAGTAAAAAACATGGTTTTTTCTAACTGTTGATTTTTGGAGTATTATTTTCTCCGCGAAGACGACTTTTTATCTAAATAACCTATAGATATTCGGATTCAGCTCAAAAAAATTGCATCGAATCAAGTAAAAGAATATGGTCGAATTTTGCGTGATGCGAACCTTATATATACGCATACGTATATGTGCATATTTATCTACTACATATCCGGCTCGTAAGCTCTATCAGGCAACGCTAGTTTACATCATTAGGCTCGGCTGCCTAAAGGGATGTGAGCAAAAAGTATTCTTAACAGCTATATAAAAAAGTATACGTCTATCACAGCTTCTTACCTTACTGCTTTTGCCGTCATTTGAATGTAAAGACAATAGTTATGCTAGCAAATCGTATCTCTCTCACAATCGTCTCTATTTTTCTCTCACCTACGTATAGATTTTTTTCGTTATTACTCTGTTTTATCCCTACCAATTTTGACTCATACTTTTCGAATGCTACGCATGAACGAGGCAGACCGAAATAACAAATTTTACCTGAGTATTCGATAAACAGAAATAATATATTACTGATCTGTGCATGTCTTCTATAAAAAATGCGTATTACTATAGGCTTACATGAAAATAATTAATTTACATGAGGCGATCAGAAAGTTCTCGAAACGTCCTTTTACCTCCAGTGTTTTAGATATTGAAGAAGTGATTATTTTGCATATAGATGACATTAGATTTATCTATCGACTTATGTAATCGGATATTCGTTAATTACTTTGAGTAAAAACTCATTTTCGTATATACCCTATTTTGATACAGATAAAACTCATATTCGTCACTAAGTTTTAAGACGATTCCAATTCGATTACACGGCAAAGTAAACTCATATGGAGTTGAGTAATGCATGTGATGAAGTCTGGTTCTCCTACAGCACAGTTGCCGGATGAGTGCAACAATTTAGACGAAGAAGTAATTCATTAGCAAATAATCCAAAAAATGGTTGTTCAGTAGCCAACATTAGTGATACAAATATTGAAGATGTTCATACAATAATTGTAGAAAAACGACTTGTCAGTGTTCGATATCTTGCATGTGGACTTCATACTCCATATAGAAGTGTTTCCGATATTATCCACAATGAGATACAGAGCAGAAGGAAAATAAAGTTAACGTAAAAATTCGTTAATGATGTGACTGAGAAAATAGTTGACTTCGGAGTAAAAATATCTTTCATAGAACAGTTTGTTTTCTTTGTTATTTCTACTGTTTAGAAATCGTGATGACGGACTAGCGATCGATGTTGAAATAAAATATACCCCAGTTTCCTTTTATATAAAAATGGTAGCGTTTTCATGAAAGAAATGGCTCAAATTTCACGATGTGATACGGCGTCAGGAGATACGATTTGTCTTCTTCATCAAACGTCACAAACAAAAAATGAATATCGATTTTTAAAACTCGAAACCATAAGCAATCACCCCATTATACTAGGATCGCTGTTTTGAGTTTAAGAAATTGTGCAAAATCTCTTTTTCTGCACGCTTTTGTTCATATACGTACAATATAAATAAACAATACATCATTACTTTTCCACAGCAAAATTTTGAGAGAAGAGTAAATTTCGAGATAAGGAAGTAGTAAGCCAAAAGAGCGTATAACCTCAGAAGAAAACTGTGAAAAATCTGTAGAAACTTAGGTACCCGGAATTTTCAAAAAGAAATGAAAGATATTAGAGGCCCTTCTGGATTTGTTTCACGTTTGTCAAATTAGAAACCACCGGAGGCTTCTTATACGCGGAGGGGTTTATTCTGTCGTAACGATAAAGGGGTGATAGTATGGACGTAGATGGAAAGAACATTTTGATTCTCACACTATGTATTATGAGTCCAGAGTTCGTATTCTAGACAGAATGTTTTACAAGAATTTTCTCTTCATAATTGTAACAGTTCGTATTGTCACCTATCTACGTATTGAATAAAGTTAGTCAAAAAACTCGGTGCATCCTATATTACTGTAATTTTTCTTCTCATTATAAATATAGATAGAGCGATGGCTGATCTATCGCATGACTGGAGTTTGTTTCTATTGTATTATTGCGCACTGTTATTTATGAAACGAATACTATATACCAAATGAGAGAACAGAAAAGAAACTTTTTCGATCAGTAATCATGTTTTTAGCTGGGCATATTGCGAATGGCTGCTGTACATTTATGTCACATCGATCGTTAGTGGGTGCGCAAATTTATGTACTTTACCTTTTTGTTGTCCATATATGCATGACTGTAAATACTTACGGTTATCGAAAAGTAGTGGCGGATGATCTGTTTTCTCTCATAAGTCAATTTAAAAAAATTTGTTTTTTACCAATCGACAGGGTATCTTTTACTCCACCTTTCGATGCTATTTGATTAATATTCAAAGGAGGTCAAAGTAATAGAATTTCCACAAAAACATTTTTTCTCGAACTCTATCTGGTAGCAAGAGTATACAAAGCCATCTATACGTGTTGTTTTTTTTCTTCATCTCTCGTCAGAACTAACTATCCCTTTATTTCACAATAGACAATAGGTAGCGAAGATAGAACAAAGGAATACAAGAATGAATTTATCAATTGTTTGTTTCATCAAAATGTTCGAAACAATCACCTTGGTTATCTATACACAACTGCATTCTTGCAATCCACTTTTCAAATGTTTTTTTATATTCTTCTTTGCTCAGAGAATACATGAAACTGTTCACAGCGTCATATAATGATTGTGAATCATTTCGATCATTCCCATTTTGTTTGATCAAATCGATTAACCCAAAAATCGCATGACAATAAGTCAGAAAAGTTAGGTGAATGTGGCACTACCATGAGACCTTCTGATCCAAAATAGGTGAACACATCCTTACGAATATGTGGTCTTCGGTTGTCATGATGAATTTTAATACCACGGGTCCCGTATGAATTTCTTTAACGTTTAATTTCATCGATGATAGGACGTACACAGTTGCTAATACAATGACCGTCCGATTAAAAGAAAGAAGACTAGCAAGGCCTTTGGAGCACACGTACTTTGTCGAGCTACAGTCGGTGGAGGATCTCCTCTTCTCACCCATGCTGCATTTGACGATTTTCGAGCAAATTGTTTATGATTAAACCACGATTCGTCCCCGGCTGTTATCTCACACAGTCGCCATATTCCTTGCCGAATTTTTCCTAAAATTTCCTCATGTATTCAAACTCGTTCCGCTCGCTACAAATTGGTGAGATCTTTAGGTAAATAATGTGCAATGATCTTTCTAAAGTTCAAAAGATGGACGAGAATCTGATGAACTGTGCCATAGCTTAAATCAGTTTGCTCTTCCAATTCTTCAATCGTGAGATAGGGATCATTATTGGTATCGTGTCGTCTTAGCGAGAAGTTCATAGCCCAGGTCAACAAATCCGATGTTAGATCCGACCAGATTCCTGGAAACGGAATTGCATTGAAATCTGACTAGAAAAATTCAATCGGCTGTTGCAAATTTTATGAGCGATCTTTTTAGCTATATTCTATGATGACCCTTAGAAAATCCGGAAAATTCGTGCTTCGGATCCGACGAAATCCGACATGGGATCCGAGTACGGGATTGATCGACCTGGGTTACCATATGGCTTATCCCCTCATATTGGTACTTTCTTAGTTTAAACCTATCATACACGTATTTGAGTGGTCTGTATTGTTTTCTGTCACTAAGATAGCCGGCGGACTTTTGCGTGAGCCTTCCACAGTGGTTCGCCAATGTGCTTTCCTAGACTTAGAAAAGCTCCATGCAAATTTGCGCGTCGTTTTCATCACAGAGCTACTTGGGTGAAATCTCACGTAGATCGCACCTAGTTCATTTGCATTACGCTCAGTCACATCTGACTAGCCTCTTAGCACTCAAACCACGTGCCTTACAATCTTCGAAGCACTAAAAAGCGTTTGTCATCGTTTTATATTGAAAAATCAATTGAGTAACCTAGATGGCTACCACTTGCCAACCACTGGTGTATAAATAGTCTCCCGGCATTGTCTATAGCTAAGAAAGGAGCGTCAGCAATTTGGCGGCGTTTTCAACTGCGGAACCATTTGAGTGACAGTTCGTCCACATTATCCCCCCACACAGCTCACCGCTAGCTCCCACGCCTTTTACTGGCGCTTGTTACACCCGCGGCAGCCCAGTGGAAGGCTTCACACTTATTGCAAACGCGAAACCGCTTGGGTGAAATTCCATCCAGGTCACACATACCAGGTTTTTTCATATTTTTCGAGGCCTAAATAATCAACATGGAAAGCTAGGAGGCAATAATTAGTACACAAAGTGAATGCATAGTAAACTAGCACGCAATCGTCGAACTTTGTATATGAAGATCAGAGAAAATTACACCGAAAGTCAGTATTACTGCAACCGATCGGACTCATCGTCAAACTTGTTTGAGATATTATTGAGATGATGTTATGTAAAAATTTTCAGCTCAGTCTGATTCTTCTATCGAAAATTATCGTGTAAACGGTCGGACGAACACGCTGACCGATTCTAGTAGTGTACTCACTTTTTGACTACACAAAAGAAAGAAATATTTATATAAATACATTTCATATAAAAAGGCAAATAATTCATATTCTATTTCTACAGTTTATAGGTGAATATACAAAAGAATATTTTTCGATCAGACTGAATGTAATTAACAATTGAATCAGTAAGGTATGTAGAAAGTTTTTCTGAAAATTAGTTTTATTTCACGTAAAATAATTTTGCAATTAAATGTTTTTATAATGAGATAAATATATAATTTTATAGTATCATCGCAATTTTTTTAATTTTTATATATAAATTATTGAAGATAGTTGTTCTGAAGAAAATTTAACAATCTTTGTTCATATGTCATCTCAAATCATTTCAATAAGTTATCTATTAAATTAATTTATTAAATTCTTATATATCTACACTTGAGGGTAAGGTGAATTAACTACGCCTCAATCATTGTTTACTACTACATATTTATAAAGAAAATAGAGACTCAGAAGTTTTGTTAGTCAATGTCAAAATAGATAAATGCAACGTTTTTTTTTTATCAAAAAAACTTAGTATACAAGCGGCTTATTATCTATAATTGATTTATATTGTTTCATCTAAATAGGTAACACACTAATTTTGAGTCACGTCTCATGTCAGCACATTTCGTCACTCTATAATAATACACGTTAACATCTACATCTTCACCCTAATTAATTATAATATCAACTTTTATCCTCATTAGATATGTTTTTTCTTAGTATCCATGCACCTTTCTACTACTTAAAGATATAAAAAGAAAAAGTGATAAATATCTTATATTGACTTAAGATTTGATATAAAGACGCAAAGAAGCTTGTTTTTATATTATTTTAAACAATGCCCATAAAAGGGTTGCAATTGATATTTTTATTATTCGTCTTAGCTCTTGACATTGTTCATCTTTTTCCAACATTCGAAATTGATAAATCACAAAGTGAACAAACTGGTGTCAATACTATTCTTGTTGATGTATCTTGGACCACACACGATTATAATTTACACACAGTACCATCATTACTAGCACCAGCTAACCCACTATCATCTCGGCAATTTTCGCCTATTAACAAAAAAATATATGCTAATTTAAAACAACTCAATGCCGAATATGCTCGATATGCTGCATGGTATCCTTTTCCACATATGGCTGTTTCTGAACTTGATCCCCCATCAGGTTTATTTCAATGTGGTAACGTAGGAACTAATTTTTCTATTAACCTATCATGCGAACAAAATAATGGTATGATAAGCAAAATTGATTTTGCTTCGTACGGAACACCAAGTGGTATATGTGGTCAAATGAAACAAGGCACTTGTCATGCAGTCAATACTTCGAGTATTGTGGAAAAAATATGTCTTGGAAAACAGAAATGTTCTATTCCAGCAACATATGATAATTTTGGAGATCCATGTAAGGTTGATTACCTGGATTTCATTCTCTAAATGTTACTATGATAGGTTTTGGAACAGAAAAACGATTATGGATTCAAGTTCAATGTGATCCACCACAAAACAATACCTACTACAATTTCACCTATATGGATCCAACGTTACAAGACTTTTTAGATGCTACCGATGGCCATTCACGTATTATCAACTTTTGTACTCACGAGGGAACATATTTAGGTGATTAAGCGATTTAGATCCCATCTTTTGGTGATAGATAGACCTCAATGAGGTATGAAAAACCTCAAGAGGATTCGTGCCCTCGCGCCTTTATTTCAA